TTTATTTCAGAACCCCCTTCCCCTCCCCCATTTCTGATGAAGGGTCTAGGCCCGAAACGTCAGCCTTCCTGCTCCTATGATGCTGCTTGGCCTGCTGTGTTCATCCAGCTCTACACCTTGTTATCTCAGATTCTCCAGCATCTGCAGTTCCTACTATCTCTGATACTAGGGTAAGGACAATGTTGGGTACATTCTCCTCCTCACTTATCCAGAGATTTCCACCTGGGTGTCCCTGTGGCCATGGTCCATCTTAGACCTCCAGATGAAAGGGACGATGGACCGGGTGGCTGATACAGCACAGTTTTGGGGAATGGGCCGGACCTGCACCATATACAACAACAGAGAGAGTGTCTCACACCCGAATACCAGGATATTACCCACATTGGAGAGGGAGCGGTGCTCCCAGAAGCCCAGTTTCTGCTTCACTTTGGCATTGGCTCCTCCCAAGACTTTGTGCGCACCCCAATGCCATCCGAACCATATTCCCAGCAACTTCAGGTCACCTGGTCCTGACGGTGATGGGGATAAAGGTTCGGTGAGCCCAGTACCCAAAGCACCTGGCCTCACTCTTTCCTCGATTTACCTTGGCACCCGAGGCCAGTTCGAACATTTTATTATTTAATATTTCCAGTACATGTGGTGACACAGTTAAACTCCTGTTTAGTGTTCACAGTGACAGTGGGTAATTCAGTTGAACTGCCCTGTTTAGTATTCACAAAGTATGGTAAGATAGTTGATCCAAAATGCCTGACCTCCCCCCCACCTCCTCAGCACGTGTTCCCTCATTTTGTATTCTCCTCCTCAACAGAGAGTAGCTTTTTAGCACCTCCTCTATTGATGCCTCGTAGAAATATGGACTGTGTTCTTCCTTGTGGTAGGGGGCATTGCTGCTTGGACCAGTATCGTTGTTCATCCTTATTTCCCCTTGAGAATGTAATTGTGAGTTACCTGGTTGAATTAGTGCGATCTCTGGTGTGTAGGCCCCTTCACAGTGCTGTTGGTACCAGCATTTTGACTCTGGTGATGATATATTTTCCAGTCAGCACAGTGAGTGGCTCGGAGGGGAGCTTACAGATGATGGTGGTCTTCCCACTTCTGCTGGAAGTGGTCGTGCGTTTGGAAGGCGCTGCCTGAGGATCTTTGGTGAATCTCTGCAGAGCATCTTGTAGATGGTACACACTGCTGCGACTGAGTGTCGGTGGGGGGAGGGAGTGGGATGTTTGTGGATGTGGTGCCAGTCGAGTGGGGGCTGCTTTGTCCTGGATGGTGTCGAGCTTCTTGAGTGTTGTTGGGGCTGCCCCCATCCAGGGGCAAGTGGGGAGTATCCCATCACCCTCCTGCCTTGTGCCTTGTCGATGGTGGGACAGGCTTTGGGGAGAGTCAGGAGGGGAGTTACTCGCTGCAGGATTCCCAGCCTCTGACCTGCTCTTGTAGCCGCTGTGTTTATGTGATGGGTCCGGTTCAGTATCTGGTCAATGATAACCATCGCCCCCCAGTTTGCTGATAGTGAGGGTTTCATTGATGATATTACCATTGAATATGAAGTGCAATGATTGGATTCCTTCCTGTTAAAAATGGTCATTGTCCACCACTCGCGTGACACAATGTGATCACCAACATTCTTGTAACCTTCAGCGAATAAAGACCAATCCTTTTTTTTTGCTGATAGGACAGTCCCCCACTGATGTTGGTTTTCCATCTGGTGAAATTTTTGTTGCACGCTCTCACATGTGTGTCTCCATTCTGAGTAAGAGAAGCCGGGGGATCTAGCCAAAGCCCATTATGTGATTGCAGCAAGATGTCCTTCCTGGAATTTTCCAAAACTGCCCCCTTAGCGTGCCACTGTGTTAAATTGCTGTGATCTGTGCACAAGGCCAAGCGAATCTCACTGAGGTGCTAACGCTTGCCCACCTCTCACGCTTACTCAACCTTTCTGTTCTTCTGACCAAAATGGGTAACCTCACATCTTTCCAGTTTACCCTTCGTCAGAAACATTGTTGACCACTCACCGAGCCCATCTGACACTTCCTACCTTCTTCACCTCTTACCTTTCCAGCTGGCTCATGTCATTAGCAAACGTACAGACCTGATCCTTTCATTCTCTCATCCAATTTCAGTTTAATTTAATGTAAATTTTCAGTCTATTTGTAATTTACTGAATCCCAAGCACCAATCCTTGTATTAATCCAGCAGTTAAAATAGAGAACATAAAACAGTGCAGCACAGTACAGGCCCTTCGGCCCACAATGTTGTGCCAACCTATTATCCTACTCTTAAAGTCAATCTACCCTGCATACCCTACATTTTACTATCATCCATGTTCCTATGCAAAAGTCGCTTAAATGTCCCTAATGTATCTGACTCCACTACCATCGCCACCAGCATATTCCACCCACCCACTGCTCTATGGCCTACTTCTAAAAATCACCCATTCGTTCTGATCAGAGACAGCAAGAACTGCAGAGGCTGGAGTCAGAGTGGAGCTGGAGGAACACAGAAGGTCGGGCAGCATCAGGGGAGCAGGAGAGTTGACGTTTCAGGTCAGGACCCTTCATCAGGACTCCTCCTGCTCCTCTGATCCATTCATTCTGCTGTAGCTTTCTGTCTGGAACTAATCCATGATCTCAAGTTCATACAAGTAACCTTCAATCCCTGAGCCCTGATCTAATAGAACAGTCTCTTGTGTAGACCAAGTACACTACATCTTCCACCTTCCCTTTATCTAGTGACTTCCTCATTAAAAAAAAACCCCTCCACTGCAGTTGTCAAACATGCTTTCCCCTTTTACAAAGCCTTTGTCTAATTGTGGTCTGATCTGCCAAATGTCCTGTTGATGCCATCCTGTCAGGGGTCTGAGTTACCACAGCAGTATATAATGCTATGTTTTACAGTCTGTGATAAACAGTCCTGGTTCCAACTGCTTTTCTAGTACCCGGCTGAGCTGGAATGTCTCCCGCTGTGCGATGGAAGGATTTGCAAGTTGATCCTGGACTTTCTTGGCCATGTTGTGAGACTCTTGTCGAGACTAGGAGTGGGATTTGGACCCAGATCTTGTGGCTTTCAGGCAGGGAAGCTGCACCACTAGGCCTAAACGTCCTGTCGCGATTTCCCCGATCATAGATTGGAGCACTTTCCCTATTGGATGGAGGTGTCACTGGCTAGGCCACCGTTTATGGCCCATCCCTAATAGCCCAGAGGGTAGTTTAGGAATCAACCACGTTGCTGTGGGCCTGGAGTCACGTGTAGGCCCAGACCGGGTTAGGATGGCAGCTTCCTTGCAAACCAGATGGGTTTCTCCCAACAGCTGACCAATGATCATGGTCATCACTGCACTCGTAACTCCAGACTTTTGTTGGATTTAAGTTCCTCCATCTGCCGTGGCGGGATTCGAACCCGGGTCCCCGGAACATTACCTGGGCCTCTGCATTAACAGCCCAGTAATGATACCGCTAGGCCGTCACCTCCTCAGGAGACTTAGCTCACCCTCCTCTTCATTTTGCAATTGGCCTGGGTGACAGAAGAAGCTCAGAGAAGCGATGGCTAGTTATTTTTCAGACCAGAGGTATGGAACAGGGCTCCCCACCCCCAGTACGAGAACTGTAGTGACATCCAGGATATGAGTTCCCTGATTGGGGCTGTTAACCTTGTCCAATCAGGGAGCCCTGGCTGACAGGTGTAAGACACAGAAGCAGAAATTAGGCCATTCGGCCCATCAAGTCTGCTCCGCCATTCAATTATTGCTGATAAGTTCCTCAACCCCATTCTCCTGCTTTCTCCCCGTAACCCTTGATAATCAAGAACCTATCTATCTCAGTCTTAAATGTACTCAATGACCTGGCCTCCCACAGCCTTCTGTGGCAGTGTATTCCATAGATTCACCACCCTCTGGCTGAAGAAGTTTCTCTTTATCTCTGTTCTAAAAGGCCTTCCCTCTACTCTAAGGCTGTGCCCTCGGGTTCTGGACTCTCCTACCAACGGAAGCATCTTCCCAACATCCAGGGAAGTATAAACAGGAAGGTCAGACTTTCTGTTTTACCCTGAGAGCTGGCTCTGGGGGAGCTGGGTCAGTGTCAATGTCTCTCCGTGTGTAAATACTGAGTGACTGGATACCAGCCTCTGTGGAGTTATTTCAAGAACCACTGCCTTCCTTGCTCAGTGCTGTTGGTATCGACTTTTCTGCGCAGAAATCAATATCTGTGGACAGAACATGCTGTTGTGAACCTTGAGGAGGACGGTGATAAACTTTAAGAGAGTGGATGGACAGAAGGAAAGCCATTGCAGGGAGAATCAGAGCATAATGTGGGAAAGTTTGAAGACATGCACTTTGGGAAATAGAAGGCAAAATTGACTAAAAGATATAAATCTGGAAACCGATTGGAACACTTATTTGTCTCAGTCTTTAAAGCAAAAACTGGTTTAGATGCTTCAAGATCAAATCAGGTCTCACCTCTCCCACCCCATTTTATTGTACTGACAGTGATTCTCACAATTGAAGTTTGCATTACTATCAAATACTTGAGGCTGAGCAACAGCCTTCCAATCCAAGATTAAAGAATGTCGCTCCACACTGTAGCAAGTCAATTCACAAAATTTCCAGACTTGGAACATGGAGGTACACAGAACGTTAAAGTCGTGGGACAGGTTGGCAGTCAGGTTTGAAAAAAGGCGAGACGAGGTGATTAAGAAAACATTGTGGATACTTGTCCTTATTAGTGTGAGCATTGAATACAAGGGCAGGGAAGTGATGTTATAGTTGTGCAGGACTTTGGTGAGCTGGAGCACTGTGTGCGGTTCTGGTCCCCTCTCTATGGGAAGGATGGGATTGCACTGGAGGGGAGGGTCCAGAGGGAGATTCACCAGGATGTTGCCCTGGGACGGGGCAATTCAGCGACGGAGAGAGAGGCTGGATAAGCTCGGGTTATTTTCATTGGAGCAGGGAAGGCTGAGGGAAGACCCGACGAGGTGTATAAGACATAATAAAAACCGAAAGACCTGCAGATGCTGCAAATCAGGAACAAAAACAGAAGTTGCTGGAAAAGCTCAACAGGTCTGGCAGGGTCTGTGAAGAAAAGAAATCAGAGTTAACGTTTCGGGTCTGGTGACCCTTCCTCAGGTATTGTTGTTGTGGTGTGTGTGAGGAACATGAACAGGTTGGGAATGGGAATAAATTCTCAGTGTTGGTAGGGGAATGAACAACCAGGTGCTTGGATTTCAAGTAAAAGGGCAGGAGGTTGAGAAGGGGATTAAGGAAGAATTTTTTTTTCACCCAGAGGTAGTCAGTATCTGGAACTCAGTGCCTGGAAGGTTGGAAGAGGCACCAGGAAGATTGACACTTGAAATGCCAGAGTGTACAAGGCTACAGGGAAAAAAGGGATGAGAGTAGATAGGTAAAGACTGATTAAAAACCGCGGCTGCTGTAAATCAGGAACAAAAGCAGGAGTTGCCGGAAAGGTTCAGCAGGCCTGGCAGCATGTGTGGAGAGAAATCAGAGTTTCATGTTTCGGATCCTGCTGAGGAAGGGTCACTAGACCTAAAACATTACTGTTGGTCTCTCTCCACAGATGCTGCGAGACCTGCTGAGCTCTTCCAGCAAATCTCTTGCTTCTGATTGAGAGTAGATAAGTGCTCGTTGGCCAGTGCAAAGACAAGCTGTAGAACTCTCTGACTCTATCAACTAAAGTATACAGGACCCTGAGTTTATACTGAAGGGTGCAGAGAAGGAAAAGCGATGGAGTTATAGTCATTCTCACACAAAACTCTGCTTTGGCTTTCATTCGATTGTACTGGGAGCTGCACTTGGAAGATGTCAGGGCATTAGAAGGAAAGGTTCTCGTCCGATTCCGGTGTGTTTTTTTCTTGTGCTCACGTTGTATTTCGACCAGCTTTTCCCCACTGACAGCCTTTGTGCCCCCCTTTCCTGTCGTTCTGCAGGACCAGTGCCAGGGTTTGACTGAGAAGGTGACCGGTGGCCTGGTGCTTTCGGAGACGGATGGTATCCCCCTGGCAGGGACGAGCCGCTGGAGTGAGCTTTCTGACCAGGAGCGCCTCAGCGAGAATTTCCGAGCCTACAAGGTCTTCAGCAGCTACCTGCGCCTGTGCCTGAAGAACGTGCCAGATTGTTCCCGCTACCCACGCTTATCTGAGTCCCTCATGGAGCTGTGCACCCAGACCGAGAGCTTCCTGGTGCTGATCAGCCAGCTGATGATGGCCATGGGCATGCCGGTGCCATCTGTCAGGGTGCCCCCGGTCGATGCCCCCAAGGACTGGGACAGGAAGGTCTGGGGTCACCAGGTTCTGCGAGAGCTCAGCAACTGGTCACTGCGCTCGGTGCGGGACTTCAACAAACTGAAGACCAACCTATCATCCAGCTGGGCTCGTCGGCGCCAGCTGAGGGGGGCACAGCTGAGGTAAGACACCACCCCCACCCCCCCCCCCCCACCCCGTCGGCTGCTGTGCCTCGCTCCCCGAAACTCCTCAACGCCCGACCTTCCGCCTCAGACCACCCACCCGCAACCCCTTCCCCTGCTCTCGGGAGGAGGGTTGCCCGGGCGAGGAGAAAGCCGTACGCCCGGGCGGGAATTGTCAGGGAGGGGTGTGGGCAAACCCTTCCCGGCTTTGTGCGACGGTTTCACCCCTTCGATGGTGCGGGAGGGGAGAGGG